GCCCAGACGGTTGCCCGACTAACATATTACCTTATTTTTGAATATTGCCAGTGTGCCGCTAGTGCAGCGGTTAGTGTGATGCGTTATTTCAGATGCAATGATGTGAGCTCGAGGTTCAATCCCAGATGTGAACAATATTTTTCACTTGTGATGATTCTAGTTGTCTTCACTCCGTAACGCAACTTGGAAGTTTTCTTTTGTTCTCTGTCTCATCATGCAGTCATTGCAAGGCGCCAATATTGATGACATTGTGGGCACTTTGAGTCCGGACAAGGGCCAATCTATACACAGAGCCTTCACTTGGTATTATACTTTGGGGTTCAGTTTCAAAAAATTCAAACTACATGTGTACTGATATACAAAACCATTCAACTTCTCATGATCATGGGAGGTGGTGTTACCATTGTACGAATGAATTGCAGAGAGTACACAACCTCCTCACCGCCTTAGGATTTCCATTCCGAAGCGAGTCGCCCCGACTTCAGACGAAGTCCCTCGCGACGCTGCGGGGTTACCGCACAGTGACACGACCTTCCATTTATAGCGACTCGCGTCCTTAACTTTGTAGGGAGGATTGCACTTTCTCCAGAATGATCATCTGAATTGTTGAGGAATGGCGAGAATACTGCAGGACTCCGAGACGCATGACCCTTGGTGCGATGTCGTCACCTACAATTTCGAATGAAGTCAGCATGATACGATAGGGGCGACAAAAGGCTCACATTCGTCGGGACATTCCGGCAGGGTAGAGGGTACTTAAGCGAAGACAGCGCCGATTGGCGCTAGTGATCACATCGATCACCCTAACCATCGACGATTCATGCCTCCCTCCAGGAATTCGACACGACACAGCCCCATTTCAGGTACGAGCAACCTCTCGTTACTGCGACGAGAGGGCACCCGTGGCAGAATACGTCGCCTGACAGAAGCAGGCGGCAGGAGAAATGAAGTATGTCTCTCAATTTCCGAGCCTTAGGGAATGAATGCTAAATTTGATCATTAGACGATCAACAATAACCAGTCTAATAACCAACCTCGAGAAGAGGCTCCCACTTCTGACACGAACTCGGATTAAAATACGCCTCCTCCAGAGCGGCGTCGCCCTGCTGTTCAGGAGAGTCGGCGGCCATCGCTGGCAGAAAGACCACCAGGTCCGGCAGTACTGAGAGAGTGGCCGATGAACATTGGAAATCGCGGTGGTTCCCGAGTCTGACCATTCGTGGTTTCGATGCTAGCCAAGGTATGTATCAATGACCTAGCCAGTGATGCAACAAATTTGACAAAGCCAATAGACCTCCGTAAAGGAGGCGCGATAGTGGGCGGAAGAGCGAAACATTAGAAGCAGATGTTCACGGGGAGGGACTTCGCGACTGCGGCGGAGAGCATTCGATATGTCTGCTTGCATGTATAGTGATGAGGAGAACAAGAAATTTGGTTCGCGTAGACCTGCTCCATGCCATCAGAGAACGCGTCGCCGACTGATTTTCATGAATCCATCAGCTTCCGTAGTGACGCTTCATGTGAAGCCGGGGAATGGGGGCCCGACCCTGCTCCTCGTCTCTGTGTCAAAGTAACGCAATGTCTGGCGTGTTGCTCGAATGCTTGGGTTTCTTGCAGCTCATCCCTGAATCATGCTGATAGCACCGACAGGATACGAGTGGTGGACCTGAATTATATGTTTCACGTTTCAATGCATTGACTGGTTCCCATCAGGACACGGCACTGAGGGCATTCACGCGTGGACCAAGTCCGACGTACCTCCAATGGTGGGCGAATGAACCGTAAAACGATCACTCATATAATCCGCTTCAAACTAAACACCCTCTCAGGTTGCCTTCAGCGTGCGCGATGGTCGTAATGCTATGTTATTCAGGTCCCGAACGATCAAATTCAAAGCAGCAGTGGGACGTAATCCAACGCTCTGCGTGGCACGGCAGCGTTCCTCCATTCGCAGTTGCTACTTCAGAAATTGCGGATAGCTTGCATTCAACAAGCGAAGGGGGAACATAAAGCAGTATCAGACCGTAGACGGTAGCATCGATTATACGCTTGAACTTGACACGACCGGGAGCAAACGCCCATCGGTCCTTTCCGCTCATCTCCGACTCAAACCCATTGGCTACCGCTCAACGCGGACTGCACGCCACCACTCAGACGGCCATACGGAACTTCCACCATCGTGTGGGTGTCTTCCTCGTTCGAGGCACTCACCCTTGCGCATCATAGGCGCAACGGCGATCGTCTATGCTTGTGACACCTTGAGTGAGCATATCTGCAATCCGTTTCAATACAGGTGCGCATAAAAAGCTTAGCAAGGAACCTCTAGTGTAGCTCAAGCTTGCGAGATGTACGCATGTCCGAGTCCTTACCGAGCCATGAATGTCGATCGCAGTGAGTGAAGCTTAAGTGAAGTCATGCGGGCTCCATACAAGACGAGGATCGTCTTGAAGCTTCCACAAAGGCTTTTCGAGAAAGCTAAATTATAAATGGGTACCTGCTGGTGGTCCAAACCTCGGAACGGGAGTAGCGACGACTCCAACTTGAAGCCTAGGGTCTGCTGACAAATTTAAAGTTCTAAAGATGTCGATTTTCCGGTGCATCTGAAAAAATGGGATTGTCGTCAACGGCAGCGATCGTGGAGGGTCAAGCCGTGCGCCTTGATAAACGTCGTGCGTCCCGGTAGCTAGCTTGGTAGGATTTTCAGATTCAACCCGCACTGTAAGGTGGGCGCCACCGAGTGGCGCCGAGTTTGGACGTGTTTGGTTACTGAGTGATAGATGGACGGATTGGGCAGGCGGATCGTTAGACAACAACTACCTCTGAATCTGCTTAGCTCAATTACCTATCTTGTATCTCTCGCAATAAGACGAGGTTCCGTTTATTGGTGTGTGTGTGATACAAGCTAACTGTACTGACTACGGAGATTCTACACTTTTTTAAACGCTCACCGCGTTCAAAAAACTACTGTTTGTTCGCGACTTATCGCATAGGTACACAGATACCATCTATTACTCAAAAAATCGAACAAAAACAATACTCTATGGAT